TTTCCAGTAAACATTAAGATTTAAGTTACCGATGACAATAATATCCAATTATGCTTTGTTTCAATGTAAACGTAAATCAATTTATACTTGAAAAATAATGAAATGCAACTGAAGGAGTTTTTTGTTGAGTTACATAAAAATAAAGTTTTTTTTTTCTTAAAAAATACCTTTAGAAAATTTAACAATTGTTGTTAAAGCAATTAGCTTGGTTTTAATATGAGCTTTTATTTAATATCCTTTACTGAATTATTATTACTTATTATTAGCAGCTGGTGCATGCTCTCTCCTCAGGAACAAATCATTGCTTTACACAANCTCTTAGTTTTTATCCTATTTAGAAAAAAATTCATATTAATTTCAAAAGTAAAAAAATGCCTGACTACTTTGCTTAGGAGCATATCTAATTTTCAAAGCTAAAGTACGCTTGTAAAAGAGTTAAAAATATCCCTGGGCACAGAAATCTCCCCCAACTATATATACATATTTTAGATTTACAGTAGTCTCAATTGTTCAATCTTGGTCTCAAACAATGAGCACAGAATACGTGGATAGATTACAACGATCGGTTTTACTACAATTACTATGACTGAATTTTGAAAATCAAATTTGTATATTGAACAATGAAACATGCGAACAGTGCATTTAAACAAAAATCATTAGACAACTATTTTAAAGTACAATTAACCTGATGCAGTAATATAATGAATATTTTAACACTTGGTGTAATTCAGTAAATGCACCCTGATCTAGTGAAAGTAAATTTTCTTTAAATATAATATATTTGTCAATTAAATAAAGAAATTTAAAAATTGCCTTGTTTCCAAAGATTTAAATTTTCAGAAGTTCAAAAATTTAAAAATTGCCTTCTTTCCATTTATTTAATGAGCTAATAACTACCTTAGCATAATCGCTACAACTTTACGATACTGGATGGAAATTTTTATCGTATTACCAATATAGAAGAGAAGGTTAAAACAAAAAGCGGTTTTGATGTTCTTAATGTTATGAATTTTTTAATAATGTCTATTGTTATCTCCGTATTCTATTCACTTTGAATCTCTAAAAGATTAAATAATTCCTAGATAAAGCAACAAACAAGGGGCAAATATGCTATCAAGAAACCCTTATTCTGTAAAGTTAACGTGTAAGTGCATTACATGAAGAATAAAATCAAGAAAACCGCTCATGTTTAGCACGATCCTAAGAAATCTGAACCAGATTGGTTGGAATTGAATTTTTTTAATAAAGTAAAAATTTAATTTAAAGTGAAGTTACTTTCCAGTAAAAATTAAGATTTAAGTTACCGATGGCAATAATATCTAATTATGCTTTGTTTCAATGTAAACGTAAATCAATTTATACTTGAAAAATAATGAAATGCAACTGAAGGAGATTTTTGTTGAGTTACATAAAAATAAAGTTTTTTTTTCTTACCTTTAGAAAATTTAACAATTTTTGTTAAAGCAATTAGCTTGGTTTTAATGTGAGCTTTTATTTAATATCCTTTACTGAATTATTATTACTTATTATTAGCAGCTGGTGCATGCTCTCTCCTCAGGAACAAATCATTGCTTTACACAAACGCCTCCCTTTTCTTTTGCAAAAATGAGTAGAGATGTTTGGTTAATTAGAAAAATGGGTAAAGAAAGGTTCCAATTAAAAATGCTCTTTCAATGCAAAACGCAAAATCTAGTTTCTAAAATTTACTTTTAAAAAGTACCTAATTTATTTGGAGGGAAATATCTTTTTCTTCCTGGAAACTTTATTAGACACTTGCAATATTTCTGGAAATCAATGTCATAAACTTTTTAAAGTTTCACAACCCATTTTTAATAGTGTTTATTTATTTTTGGAATGTTTTTTATGTTTTTTTCACCATTCATCGATTGTCTCATTCATTGTTTTTATATTTATATTGTAATAAAAGTATAAGTTTTTTCTAAAAAAAAACATGCAAAATTCTGAAGCAATACTGGCAGAAAAGCAATCAAGAAACACAGATTTACAATAGAAACTATCTAAATTAGCTAGCTCATCAATACGCAAGGACTCAAATGTGCGGTTCAAAATTTGTGCAATTTTTTTTTCTTTCTAATTATGTCCAACAGATCAACAGTCCACAAGCTCCAGGTAGTGCAGCCCTACCCTACAGTATATCACAAAAGGGATAAAAGGAAATTCAAATACAGTACAGAACCCGTTATCCGGAAATCAGAAAACCAAAAAACCGGAACGAAATTCGATTAGTTTCCCCCCCCCCCCAAAAAAAATTTTTCCTCATAAGATTTTAGGATTTTTCGTTCTTTTTTGAAAGATGTTTACCTTACCATCATTTTGGAAATAATCATTAGTGTATTACTTCTTTTAAGATTATTTTTAAATTTTTTTAGTTGGGTTTAACTATATAAAAACGGCTTTTTGTAGCGATTCAGAAAACCGGAAAAACCAGTTATCCGGAATAGCGTCCCGATCGTTCTGGATAATCGGTTCCCTACTGTATATAGCAAGAGAACAGGGTTTTTTTTTTTAAAAAAAAATTTCATACCTACTTTTTATAATTGGGTGACATAAAATATTGTAAAACTTTAAACTAGAGCATAGTATTAAAATACATTGAAGTGGATAATGAGCCACAATTTACTTTATAGAATTGTAGAAAAAAGAATATGGCGTGTACAACATAATTTTGAAATATTTCTCATTAGATAAGCTGAATGTTAGTACCGTTAATAGTTTAGTTTGATGCAAAAAAAAAAAAAAACATTTTTTTTTAAATGACAAGTATCAAATACTAGTTTCGGAAAAGATTTCAGTGTCAAACATGGAGACATGAGAAATTTTAAAAAAAAAAAAAAATCTTTATGGGGTCAAATACATTAAGTGCAATTCAAAGCAACTTTAGTGCAAACAACTATATGTAAGTATTCTGTATAGGTATCATCTCCAAAAAATCCACCAAATCATGACAACATCTAGTCAGATTTACAGGAAGGGACCGACCTGTGGCCACCTTCAGACAAACCACTACAGATTTTTTATAAAAACTTTGCATGCATAAAAATCCTTTGGTGCTCGGGCTGTGATGATTGGTGCAAACAGATAAGCCACGGACAGAGATATAACTGAGATTTTTTTTCATCAAGTAAAAGTACTCTTTGACATTTTTTTGATGAAGTGAAATTTATTTTGGAAGTATGAAATACAATAATACTGAAAACATAAATTACAGAAACCAATTTTATGTAAAAAAAAAAAAAAGATAATAATAAACCTTTATGGATGAAATATAAGATTGCAAAAAGAATTTTGCACAATTGTAATTTTTACACATTTAGCATATTTGACACATTTTGTATAAAGAAGAATAAAACTATTAAATAAAACATTTTCATTAAAATTACTATATAGCATCTTATTTTTTGTTCACTTTCCATAATTTTACAACAATATCAAATTTCAAATTTATTAACACTTACAATTCATTCTTTAAATTCAAGTCTATTCTAATACTTAAGTTAATGTTTCTAACAGTTTTTCTATCTATTTCTCTTAGTTTTTATCCTATTTAGAAAAAAATTCATATTAATTTCAAAAGTAAAAAAATGCCTGACTACTTTGCTTAGGAGCATATCTAATTTTCAAAGCTAAAGTACGCTTGTAAAAGAGTTAAAAATATCCCTGGGCACAGAAATCTCCCCCAACTATATATACATATTTTAGATTTACAGTAGTCTCAATTGTTCAATCTTGGTCCCAAACAATGAGCACAGAATACGTGGATAGATTACAACGATCGGTTTTACTACAATTACTATGACTGAATTTTGAAAATCAAATTTGTATATTGAACAATGAAACATGCGAACAGTGCATTTAAACAAAAATCATTAGACAACTATTTTAAAGTACAATTAACCTGATGCAGTAATATAATGAATATTTTAACACTTGGTGTAATTCAGTAAATGCACCCTGATCTAGTGAAAGTAAATTTTCTTTAAATATAATATATTTGTCAATTAAATAAAGAAATTTAAAAATTGCCTTGTTTCCAAAGATTTAAATTTTCAGAAGTTCAAAAATTTAAAAATTGCCTTCTTTCCATTTATTTAAATTTTTGGAAGTTGGAAGTTCGAATAAGGTTTAGTCCTGTCCCCCTCAAATTATTGAGACTCTGTTGTATATTAAATGTAATAAAGGAAAAGCAACATTTTTGTCATTGCAGTTGGCCCAAAATTTTTCTTATATTTACCTACTATTTTTTCAACTTCACTTGAGTTTATTAATTAATATTATTATATTAATAGTTTAAAGTTAATTACAATTCCAAATAATATAAAATAATATTTCAAAATGAAAATAAATCTTAGATTCTTCATAAACACTAGGTATAAAATAAAAGTTGGGTGAACTGAAGGGCTAACAAATAAAAATGATTCATTGTTAACTTACGAATTTCTATCCGGATATTGTTTAAAAAATAAAACGATTCATAGAATGAAATAAAGCTGGTTTAAGCTAAACAAATATGTACATCTAAAAATAAGAACGGTCCAATTTTTTTTTGTATTACTAATAGTTATCACTTGTAAAGATTATTTTTTTAAAAAAAAGCAAATTTACTATATAATAATGAAAGTAGAATTTTTAACTTCTTGAAAAATATCAGAAATGTAAATGTTTAACTTTAACTATGCAAGAGAAAGAAAATTAATAACAACAGTTGATACAATTACTACTACAAAAACACTAGGAGCTATACTACTTTTAAGATGTTTACATAATTAATAAAATGTTATATCTGAGTTCTAAGGCTGTAGATACTTTACATGATGGTCTTATCAATGTTTAAAACCATCAAAAAATGCCACACGACAAAAGCCTGTGAGTTTGATCAACTGAAATGGAATGGTATTAACGGCAATGACATAACCTATGGGCGAATGAATAATTCACAACATTTTCAAAACAGTAATTAAAAGCTTATTTAAATTACTCACTGGAAGTGAAAGACATTCTTCAGTTCCTGGGGGGAATTTTGCAATAAATTTACTACCAGCTTTTTCTTCGGCATCATTTAAAGGTCGAAATCGGCAGACAACTTTGATGCTGTCTTCAGCAGGAGGTTCGTGGGGCGAGTTCATTCTTTACTTTGAAAAGTGCTACTTTTTCTGGACAATATGCACAGTAGGTAGTTGTCAAAAAGGCAAATTCATTAACACTTTAGTCGATCATATGTAAACATGAAAAACAACAAAAACGAGTTAACTTTTGTCGATTTAAAAACCTTTCTTTTATCGGCAGAGTATCCCAGTTACAAAAATTTATGAGTCATAGAGATCTATTATAGAAAATTGAAGTTTCAATCAGTATTAGTTATTTTCAAAGTTAAATTAAAAGTCACTATGTAAGATGTAGATGTTTCATAAGGTTAAAAGTAACAATTTGTACATTTAATCAACAATACTATTTAACACCTGATGTCAGCCATTTTCCTGGCCCCGAAAAGTGGACGGTCGCAGTCACGAGATCACTGAGGCTAAAAACGTTTTTTTTTTCTTTTTCTTTTTTTTTTACTTTTTTTTTCATGACGTAATATCTTTTAATGAAATGGCATCACTTTTGACAAACTGTTTGTTTTCTGTTNGTATACTGCGCATGCTTGAAAACATGCCTTGAGGGATCATCCTGTTTCCTGAGGATTCACAGGCATCCTCACGCTATACACTACCTTTAAATGGCTGTTAAGAGATTTACGACGGAATTTAAATTATCTTTAAGATTTACTTTTAAAAATTAGAAAAAATTCAACAAGTTTTGTAAAATGGTTTCGACAGTGTCTACTAGAGGCATAAAATTTAAATTTAGTGAAGGAGAGCGTGTTTTGTGTTTTGAACCTGATCCGACAAAAGCAAGAGTTTTATATGAATCAAAAGTAAATGATATTGTTTTATACCTACATTAAAATGTTTAATTTTTTTTTAAATAAAATTACTCCTAAATTTTTGTATTTAATTTTAACTTGTTATTTTTGTAACTGGTATTTTGGTTTGGTTGATGTTAATCGTAGTAATAAAGATTTTCTGACACTCTTAACATCAAGCTGTCAAATAATCAAATTTTTTAAACAAGATTTTCTACCATGCATGCTAACACCTTAAAGGTGAAAAAAAAATTATAAGATTAACCTTATTTTAGTTTCTAACATATTTCAAATTTTATTAGAGTAATAAAACATGACAGTACTAGTATAATGCATGTTTTATTAATCTTAATAAAATGTGCTTAATGATAGAAACTAGATCGTAAATGCAGGTTAACAAAATCAGCATTTATATTAGTGTTCTCTACCAACTTTTTTTAAAAGTAAAATTCTTAAAAATGGGCAGTATTTTTTACATATATTAACCAACCAAGATTATTTAAATTTAACTTTTATATTGAATTTCCTATTTTTTATAAATAAAATTTTTTAATTACTGCTTATTGAAAGGCAAGATATTCTTATTTTTGTGCCTCGCTGTTTGTTGACAATTTATGCTAAATTAATTAGGGGAACAAAATTAAAAATTATGATTTTATGCATGCTTCTTTTTCGTGATAAAATTATTGGGAAAATTTTGGTATCAGAGCCTGTGCCTAAGTAATTGAAAAGAAACTTTGAGTATGAAATTTTGAGTAACTGAAAAAAAAAATATCCGGACCAGCCCCCAAAGAGATCATAGATCGGCCCCCGAAGAGATATTTTCATATTAGAGCCTGTTCACTCTAACTACTTTCGTAAAAGCCTCAAAGGATTTTTGAACTTCAGAAATTTTAAAAATAAAAAAAGTTTGCCTGAGGATGTCTAGGGACTATATTTAAGTCTCTTTCCTCAACTACTTTTTTAATCCTTTTCTGTGATATACAGTACAGAACCCGTTATCCGGAAATCAGAAAACCAAAAAACCGAAACAAAATTCGATAAATTTTCCCACCATTTAAAAAAAAAATTTTTTTTTTAAAGATTTTAGGATTTTTCTTTCTATTTTGAAAGATGTTTACCTTACCATCGTTTGTAAATAATCATTGGTATATTCCTTCATCGTTTTTTCTTCTTTTTAAGATTATTTCAAAAAAAAATTTTTTTTAGTTGGATTTAACAATAAAAAAAACGGCTTTTTGTAGCGATTCAGAAAACCGGAAAAATCAGTTATCAGGAATAGCAATGGTCCTGATCGTTTTGGATAATCGCTTCCCTACTGTATTTGTTTTTCATGCACCTCTGCACGAAATTTGCAAATTATTATTTCAGCACAAGGCAAATATGGAAGTCTTCCATTCTCAACTTGAAAGGTAGCCACCACTGGACAAATTACTGCATTTTCTCTCTCTCTCTCTCTCTCTTTTTTTTAATTTTTTTTTTTTTTAGTGTCTGTCTGTGCATTTACAAAAACCCTTTGTCGTCTTGTTGATGGTAGGTATTGAAACAGAACTATTCCCAGCAAGTTATTTGTATGCATTTATATTTGATACTAAGATATTGTTGGCAAAGATACATCTTTACAAAATATATTTTTCACAAACATATTAATTGATTTCTCTAGTGTATCTCTAGTGTAAAACAATAATATCTATTTATTCCTGATTATCTTAAACATATGTTATGTTAAATTTATGTTAAACATATGTTTTCAATATTTCAATGGGATGTTTTGACCTGAAATTTAGTAAATTGATGTCTTCAAACAACTCATGTGAGCTTTAATCTAAATTCATAAAAAAAAATAATAATAATAAAATTCTGACTAGATATTAATGAATTTTTTTTATTTTTAAAAATGATGAAAATACTAGAGCTTTTAATTTTTTTTCTTTTTTACCATAAGAGAAAAAAATTAAACCCTGTCCTAGAAAGAGAATTAAAAGAAATCATAATAAACCAAGATTTGAGTCTCTTTGAAAACTTGCATCAGCCCCCAGGTAACCGAGCCATCAGCATGCCTGATTGCATAGTCAATGGTTGCAGGTTCGAACCTCGTTCAGAGCATGGATGTTACCCTCTGTGTGTTCAATGAATAAAACTTTCGGCATCTTCCAAAGCAAAGAACGAGAAATTTAGTACCTGTCATTAAAAAAAATTTAGTAGTTTGACAAAGAAGCAAATTATGATTTTCATGATGACAATTAATTTATGTTATTTGTGTATTAACATGATTTTTATTTTATTTTTTTTATTTTGTAAATTTATCATAGTCAAAATTTTTACTCTCTTGAGAAAGATAGCCACTGTACAAAAAGCAAAAATAACAAAAAGTAATTTATGAAAATGTTATATTTAAAATTCAGTCCCAAGACTAGTCCCTTTAATAGGCCTACTTCATTTTCTTTTCACTGATCCACTTATTCTGCTTTTTATTTTTAAGGTACTTGAACTTGTTGTTAGTAGGGATGAAAGAGGAAGGAAAGTTCCAGAATATCTTATCCACTTCCTTGGTTGGAATAGCAGGTGAGAATTCTTTTTGTTAAAAGTCGAGCAGAACCTCTTTTAATGATTATATCGATTATTTTAAATAAATTCGTAATCAAGAGTACAGTGATTAATTAAAAATTGGAACCTTTACATCTACGAAGTCACTATTTTATTTTATAATAAAACTAAATTAAAGGTTAACCTTAAAATCATAATATAACTTTTCGTGTATCGAAATCTATATAAAATTTCCAAAGTTTTGATATGTTTACGTTTTCAATTTTAACATTAAATGTGTTTAATTTGAAAGAAAAAATTAAGAAAAATCTTCTACATTTTCTGTTATTTTAGTTTTATTTATTAATTATGTGTTTTTCTTTTAGGATAATGTGTACTTGACATTGTTTTATCTGCCAGATATGTAATAAAATAATTTTTCCCCCTTTAGTTGGGATCGATGTGTAAGAGAAGAATTTATCTTGCCATTTACAGAAGAAAACATTGAACTTCAAGCTAATTTAGCTACTGAAGCTGCTCTTACTATGTGAGTACAAAATATCAAATTAGAAATGGCTCAAAAAATTTAAAACCTTTTGTTTTTTTACATGCTGTAAAGCTTATAAGTAAGTATTAGTATTAGAGTTGAAAAAATGTACTTTTTCTTAGATAACATAATCCACTGTTTTTTTTTAATGTTTTAGCATTGTAGCTTAATTATTTTGTATGTTCAGTAAAATCTCCTATTGCTATTCTCAATACCTTTGATTTTATACTTCAGTTAAAAGAATTTTCACTCAAAACGATCTCTCACATTTCAATTATTCATTTACAAAAGTTCTCATTCCTGCATCTTTACCATTGTCTTGAATTTAAAGCAACAGAAAATGAAATGGGTTAACAAATATTGGTCAAATGTATGCTCAAATTACTTCATTCATGCATGCATAATTTCTCTGAATTGCATAACATAAAAATTAATAATAAAGATGCATCAAAAATTGACATATATTGTGAATGCTGAAACAAGATTCATGTAAATCAGGAAGACCGCCCATGAAAGATGCAGGATATCTGTAAAAAGCAGAGTTAAATTGTCAAATCATATATATTATTGACTGTATGAATGCTAAAATTATATTTTACAATGACTTGAATGGGATGACTATTGAGGGAAAGTATGTTTATTAAAGATCAATTTAAATTGTTCCAAGCAAAAGAAGAAGTATGTTAAAAACTGACTATTTAAAAGAAAATTCATGTTAGCAACTGGTGGCAGTTGTTTGGTAATTGCTGGTAATTTTACTTTTACGTAAGAAATTATGTAAAATATTTTAAAACAGCTGTTCAAATTGAAGGATTGAATGTAATTATTCATGTTCACTTTTAAAATCTTGATTTAAATACTCAATTTTTATGTTAGTTGCATTTTAATGGAACTTTAAGAGGTAAATTTGATAAAAACGCATTTTGTTTTCTGAACGAAATTTTTTTGTGATTGGATATTCTTGGGAGAGTGATTTGTGGGTGGTGCCAATAGTATGTTTCCTTATATAAAGAAGGTAATTTTGTAATAATTTAACTATTTTTTTTTCAGTAAAGGAAAACGCAAAATGAAATTACCTCCTCTTATCAAAGAAACTCTTGCCAAAAAGCAATGTGCAGAAGAAGAAAAACAAAAACCTGAAAAACATGAGAATTCTGCAGATTCAAGTTCTGAAACAAATTCTTCAGATGTATGTTGTAAAATTTTAAATAAATTATCTTTGGTTAATATTAATGTGTATGCAGTTCATGGTAATAAATAAGTATTCTTGATAATTATTTCTTTTTTGATGCATTAGATCTAAAAAACATAAAATTGAATTGACCATTAGGTAGTCAAGACTTGGTATGAACCAAGCAGACATTTGCTATTTTAAAAGAAACAACTATTTTAAGCTAAATTTAATGTAGCAAATGCAGCCTGAACATGTAGCTCCTTGTTTATATATATATATTAAATAAAAATAAAAATATTGAGTTTAAAATTAAATACAATTCAATTTAAAGTTTGTGCTTTACAATTACAAAGAGTAAAAAAATCATAAAATAAGTAGTTCAATTAATGATTAAAAACTAATTGTAATTCAATTAGTAAAATTCATATTATTTCTCTTTTGATTAAAAAAAAAAATTACTTATGACAATATCGAATAAGCTTAAAGTCTATTCATACTACAAAAAAAAAATTTAATATTTTTATAAAAGAAAAGCATTAAGCACTTATAATTTAATTTTAATAAATTATTATTTATTAAGTGCCAGGTTTCATTATTTCTTATGTTTAATTCCATTAAACTAGCTAAAGTACTGAGAATTAATAAATAATTTAGTAAAGTTTAAAATTTTATGTGAATACATTTTAGAGCTCTTTGCAGGTACTCTAGCTGCACATGCAATAAATAATCAGGCCTTGACTAAGGGTTAAGAACTGGACTGAGAGGAATGCAGGACAAAGTCCTTGGCTCACCCTGGGCTGTTGTGCACTGGTGTTAATATTATTTTATGATTTTAATGTTATTTTATCCTCAAACCTGAATGTAGATTGAGATTAATAGTCTTTATATTGTTCTATTAACTAAAAAATCTACTTATCATATAAAGTTGATTTAAGGTTCTTTTTTTTAACTGTTTATTCCTTGTATATTTTTTTTAATCGCTTCCTTTTCCTTTGATGTTAAAAATTTTCTTAATTCTTTGCAGGAAGAATATGAAAAAGAAGTCATAATTAACATTCCAGATGTATTGAAACGACTGCTAGATGAAGATTTTGTATATATAACTCAAAAAGATAAGGTAAAAGGCAGTTTAGTTCAATACCTGATTGTATCAATTTATCCTTTGTGAATAATCTTAAACGTTTGTATAACCTTTTATACAACGTTATCCAACGTTTGTATAACCTTTGTGAATAATCTTAAACATTTGTATAACCTTTTCTTTCTTCCTTTTTAATGTTAGAATTTTTTTCCTTTTTTTATTCAAAACCAAAAAAAAAATAATAATAATAAATCTATTGCTGCATAGCTTATCATGTTTAAAAACTAAAAAATTCATTTGTAGATATGGTTTGGATAGGATGATGTGACCTGATGTTAGTAATAATTTTGCTGCATAGCTTATCATGTTTAAAAACTAAAAAATTCATTTGTAGATATGGTTTGGATGGGATGATGTGACCTGATGTTAATAATAATTTTAAATTGTTTTTCTTAAATTAGTTTAATATTGTTACACATTAATTGTATCAATTAATATTCTTTGAACAAGTTATGTATAATGCAGAACTGTTTACATCCCCCAACAATTTATGTCAAATCTTGAAGAAGAAAAAATCTATACTGTAAATAATAAATTTTTTTTTTCAAATTAAATGTTAAAAACAAAATTATTCATTATTAAAAAGAAAAGTTGTAAATTAACATGTGAGGGTTGTTTTTTTATCTTTGGCTTATATCCGCAAAACATTTGCGATTATCAAAATGATCATTACAGAAAATTAAGTAAATTTTTGATCTTTTTCATCTGTGTTTTATAAAAAATCTATTTAATATATAACAATTTTCTCAATCCTGAGATTAACTATTATATTTAAGTTTTATTACATCTTCTATTCTAATAATGTAGTGATATCTTATATTATTCATTTCTCACAAAACAACAAAAGCACTCAGAAAAAGTTTTTCAATAAGGTTTGGAAGTTCTTTCTATTAGGTTTGATGGCTTCAAGCGAAAATAGAATTTTCTTGAAACACTATTCCTTCTTCTTCTTTCCTTTTATTTTTTTTTCTAAATTTAATGATGCAATTTCTTAAAAACTAATGTGCTTAACTTATAAAAATTTTTTCACTTCTTCAGATCAAATTGATTATTTGACATTGAGTTGAAGATATTATTTTAAATTTAGCACATTTATTTATTAAAGGCATATATGGTCTAAATTTTTCCAAAAATTTTATTTTTTACCTATTAATTCTTTAATACTATCAAATTTCATTGTTCAATACTTCATCCTATATCTAATTCTGTCTAGAAGAAGCAGGAAGAATTTAAAAACTCTCAGAGCATAAGTTTTCGACAATTTTATAAGTCTCCAAAAAAAGAGCTAAATTTTCAAAATGTTTTTAAATACTCTTCAAAGTTGTTCTTTCTAAGGCTTAAGGTTATAACCATAAAATAATTATCTTATTAAATTCAAAACAGATTAAAGATAATGGATTAACGATGAAACAAATTAGATTAAAGATTAATTTTTACTCTTCAAAACTCATGTAACCTCTAAAGTTGCAAAAAATCTCTACATACCATAAAATCTAAACAAGGGTTCGATATTTCTTTGGAACACTCCCTTATGTGCATTGAAAGTTGACGCTAATAACATTGCTTTTTTGCAGGTGTTGAAATATAAGGATAATTACTTTTTGTCATTTTTATTTTTGAAAAATATAATGTATATTTTTGGAATTTGAAATAACTTTTCATTTTTTCTAGCATTTAAATACATAAATGAAATTTTTGTTCTCTGGAAAATATGATAATACAATTTGGTTATAAATTACAATTCTTAAGTCTAACTAAATTTATTTATGTTTATGTAAATCGAAAAATGAAAACTCATTACTTTCTCAAATTAAAAACACATATATTTTACAAGACTTGAAGTATGTATTTCAATATTATTTCGTTTTTTTTTAGTTGGTGAAATTACCCTGTAGACCAAATATTATTGCTATTTTAGAAGCATATGTTAAGCATTTAGCAGCCAAATTAATCTGTGCCTCACCACCTAAAAACTCAAAGAATGGCACAAAAGCAATGCCATTAGATGTAAATAATAAGTAAGTACCTATTATTATTATAATGAACTTTTCTTTCTATATATCTTCTGTTAGGCACCACTTGATGTCAATTAGTAAAAATATGTAATTTTTATTAAGGGAAAAAAATTTTATTCAAAATGACGCCTAAAACATTTGTATATAAATAACAGTTGAATTCTCTAAACATGTTTTAATAAGTTGTATTATATATAAGTGTTACTGAAAGTAAGATTTGTTTTGTAAAATACATTTCTGCCTAAACAAATTTTCATTGAAAATTTTGAAGTTCCTTAGAAAAAATTGTTTTTTTCATTGAAAAATATTCTGTTGAGAGAAATTTTTCACTGAGATTTGCAAGAAAAAAAAAACTTACCATGCTACACATATTTTTTATATTTGTATGATATTATATATATCTATATATGCACACACATAATTGCTATAGTAATATAATATATAATTATTGAAAATGTGTTCTGAAAAATCTTGTTTACATAATTCTTTTTCTTCCTAACATGTTACTGTCACTAATGTAAAAAAATTTTATCTTTTTTACTTTGAAGTGTTGGCAGTTACGGTTTCAATATTGTATGTTGTTATTTATTCATAAAAGAAGTTTTCCTCTGATATTTTGTTTGCAAAATTATAGCAACTTTAGAAGGAAGTATTTTGTTAAAGTTGCTACAATTTAATAAAATTTTGCAACTATATTATCGATTGATAATGCTATTCATGCATTCTTGAAAATATTTAATTTTGTTAAATGGTAATCTTTGAAAAATATTTATTTATTTTTTAGATTAAGTCTTTGTAAAGAAGCCATGGATGGTATCCGCATTTACTTTGACTTTACTTTGCCTCATATTCTTTTGTACAGACAAGAAAAGAAGCAACACTATACAACAGCAACAACCTGTTCCCCAATGACATCAATGTTCAAATGGTTAAGTGTTTTATATTTTTTTAATATCGTGAATGCATTTATCTACTTAATATAAAATTTTTATCAACCTTGCTAAATATATTAAACAAAAACCTATTTTTAAAAAATAGTTAGGCAAAGATTTTTTTTCTTAATATTATTGTAATTCAAACAAATTATTGTATCAAGAACATGTTATGCAAACTACGGATAAAATATAATGTGTTTTTAATTATCTCTTAAATCAGATATTGATTTCTGATTCATATTCTTGATTCATGATTTTTTTAAATTTATATACTTTTTTAATAGGTGCATTAAATTAGAAAAGAAAATACTTTTATTAAAGAAAATACTTTTTTAATAGGTGCATTAAATTAAGTGCATTGCACTTCACTGACTGTAACAAAGTTATAAAGTAAAAACAAAATTTGTAAATAAAATCAAAAACAATTGTTTAAAAAAAATGGTGTTAGTAAGTCTATTTTTACAAGTATGTTGTACTTCTAAAATTATTATACTTGTTAATTTCTTTTTCTTAAATCCAAGCATGTTAAGTGTTCAGAATAATTTCTTTGTCATTTAGTTTGCTCTTTCTGATATTTTAACTTCTAAAACTATTTTCTCTTTTTTTTTCTGTATGTATGCTCTTATAAATTTTTTTTTATTATTTTACAGGGAGCCTCGTGAAAATATGGAAAATGTTGTTGTAAAGGTTGAAAAGTTAGAAAATGAAGTAAATAAAGACAATTTTAAAAATATTAGTAACACCCCTGTTATCAAAGCAGAACTTGAACATGTTTTAGCAAGCTCTAGAAGCAGAAAAAGCCTTCGAAGTCAGTCCACTAAGACTGAATCTCCGAGTAAAAAGGAGAGTTCCACAAATGGTGACATGAACAAGAAATCTGAAAGTTTAGAAAAATCTCATAAAGCTAAAAAAACACCTAAAAGAAAACAGAGTAAGTTTTTTATTTAATTAATTTGCCAATTCGATACAAATCTGTAAATATTAATAAGATGTTTTACAATTTATATTTATTTATTTAAAAAACTTTTAAATAATTGGCATTAATTTCTTTCTTTGTAAAAAAAAAAAATGCTATATAAGTAGTAAGTTGAAATATAAATTAAATAATTTTATTATAAATTTTTTATTATACAGTTATGTATTCGTCAAAAGTATTCTAAAAAGTTATTTGTTCATATTTTAGCATCTTTTAATGAACAGAAATTTTTTTTTAAGCTGACCTTAAAAATGCAAAATTTTTAAACACAATATTGTAAGTTATAACATTAGACAAAAACATACTTTTTTTAAGTAAAAACATTTTTTTTTCAGAATTTAATTTTAATTTCCTAGTTTTTTAGGTGTGTTTAGGAGAATTTTTTTCACAAAATAGTGAAAAAAATTCTCTTGTACAAAATAAGCCTCTCAAATGAGTGGCTGTAAATTAATATTTCAGCACAAAAAAAAATTTGTATAGTTTTTGCAACATAACATAGCAATATTAAACAAATATTACATACTATTGAGATAGGCTAGACTAATAACGTCAAAACTTGTTTGTTTACTTGAGAAAACGTTGAAAAATGATTTAACAGGTAATTAAACTGGTTTTGGTGTTTTTAAAACTGACTTTCTCTTTAGCGATTCATCAATTTTTATTGCTTCCTCGCTTAATTGCTAATTCGAGACTTCTAATTTGCAGTGCATATTTTTTGACAAATATTTTATAAATATATAAAGGGCAGTTATTAAGAAACATCCTATATTTCTATTGTCTGTGAAAGCACTCATTTATGTATATTTTTATTTATGTATAGAAAAAGCAAATATTACTCCTACAAGAATCTTAAGGTCAACAGAAAAACAAAAACTTCAACCGCCCAAAGAAGAACCTCCACCAAAGAGCCCTGTCGGCACACCTCCACCCGACATCAAGCGCCTCAGATCTGCAAGCCCCAATCCTACTACTACAGTCGAAACACCAACCCAACCTCGAATAACACGGAAGTGTAGGCAACAAAGTATGTCTCCACCACCCTTGCCTAGCCCAAGTCACCATGCCCATTCATCCCATACTGTAGAAGAAAAACCAGTGCCTACAGCTTCTACTTCAAATATACAATCTAGCAAAGTGTTACAGACTTTTCCTCTTGTACCTAATTGCATCAGTTCATCCAATTCATCGAGTCATTCCGCATTTTCAGACCGAAACATGTCTCATCAGTTTCATCTTAAAAAGAATGAAGCACTCTTACAAGAGACTCTCACATGGCGATTAGTACCTCAGCATTTGTATGAAAGCATTCCCGCTGCACCTTCTCTCATTTATGGTCCCCAACATCTGCTCAGACTTTTTGGTAATGACAAATTTCTTGTCTGTTATTATATGTGGATATATTAAATGTTTTTACCTACACTATTTTCCAAAAGTTACCAAAAACCATTATTACCATCTTAAGAGTAATAAGCTGCACCTTCTCTCATTTATGGTCCCCAACATCTGCTCAGACTGTTTGGTAATGACAAATTTCTTGTCTGTTATTATATGTGGATATATTAAATGTTTTTACCTACACTATTTTCCAAAAGTTACCGAAAACCATTATTACCATCTTAAGAGTAATATTTCGTATGCTAAAATTTTTATTATCTATAATTAGAATTGCATGTTTGTTACAAAAAAAAAAAGCCTTGCAAGAAATTGCAAAATTTTTCCTGCATATGAATGTATATTTTGAAAGACATGGACATAATACATATAATAAAATTAATGTGTATTTAAAAGTTGAAAGGTTTGTTTATTTTAATTTAAACAACATATAATTTTATTCAAATAAACAAAATTTCAGCGCAAAATATTTTATTCAGTTAACCCCTTAACTCCCGCGGGCGTATATATACGTCTCGGCCAGACGATGCGTTAACTGCCGCAGGCATATATATACGATTTCCCGAAGTACGATGCTTTGCATTGCGCTGCTATAAATAGAACTACACCCCCTTCTTCAGAATGCAGTAAAATGGCCTTGAAAGTGTTCGCTTTGCGAATGTATTGCTAATTTAGGAGGAGGGGGAAAAGGACGTTATGGAAAAGTGATATCGTATTAATCACTTGTGTGCATTTATTTCAGTAAGGTCGGGTTTATTCTTTTTTCGCTTTCGTCTCCCGTATGTATTTGGTGCTTTTTATTCTTTCCATCAACGTCTTCAAAGAAAAATGCATCGCGAAAATGTGCTGTTTGTTCAAGAAAAAAAATTNTCTTAAGAGTAATAAGCTGCACCTTCTCTCATTTATGCTCCCCAACATCTGCTCAGACTGTTTGGTAATGACAAATTTCTTGTCTGTTATTATATGTGGATATATTAAATGTTTTTACCTACACTATTTTCCAAAAGTTACCGAAAACCATTATTACCATCTTAAGAGTAATATTTCGTATGCTAACATTTTTATTATCTATAATTAGAATTGCATGTTTGTCACAAAGAAAAAACCTTGCAAGAAATTGCAAAATTTTTACTGCATATGCAGTGTATATTTTGAAAGACATGGACATAATACATATAATAAAATTTATGTGTATTTAAAAGTTGAAAGATTTTTTTTATTTTAATTTAAACAATGTATAATTTTATTCAAATAAGCAAAAATTCAGCACAAAATATTTTGTTCAGTTAAACAATTCTCGATAATGTTTTGTTTCCTCATTCATCAAATATTTATTTTCTAGCATTTCCACATGTTTTTAGTGGCTAACTGAATTTAACTTTTGTATTTAGGGAGAAAAGCATGCTATTCTTATTAATTTATAATCATTTGGATAGAGAGACCTTCTGACTTTGGGGCTTCATTGAACTAATTTCATGTCATTTGATTGTCTTTTATATTTTATCAGATATACATTATTAATTTTGAAGTTTCTGTTGAAATGTAATTTAAAAAATTGAAAAAAATCTGACATTTTACATAATATTCGCGCATTTTGTAGTATTTTGAGAAATTTGCTGATCTTATTAAAATAAAATAATAAAAAACATCAATGATATCTGTATAAAAATTCATGCCACAACAAACTTCTAACTCTGCCTGTAATTATTAAATTTAAATTATATTTTTTAATTAATATTTCCAAACATATTTGCTTTATGAACTGAATTGTATTATTTTGAAAATAAAAAATTCTGAGTAAATTGTGCATATTTGCCCTTGTGAGAGGAAGGCTCTATAGTGAAACTGTTATTCTGCAAAATAGCCCTGTTTGTATCAGCAACATTGAACTATAGTAAAGTGGTGAACGATAGGTGGTGCTATAACAATTAAAGGAAAATAAATTGTTTATCTTTTGCAGTATAATATTACATTAATTAAATTTCTCAGTTATTGCATAAAATTTCATTTAGTATTTATGGAGGAAAAAAAATTTGCAATCAAGTAGTAATTTTTGTAATAAACTAAAAATTTCTTCACCAAATGCAAAATAATATACTTTTTTTTATTAGTCATATATGTTAAAAAATTTTAAAAATGTGTGTTAAAAGTATTAAAAGAAATTTTACAACTTAAAATACTATATATTTATACTCCATTACCCAAAATGTATAATTTTTTTTATTAGGAGTTTTTTTTTTTTTCTTTTTGTACTCATTGAAAACAAGCTATCTCCTGTTTTTTACCATTTTTTTTTTAATGTTTAAAATTATCTGAACCTAGTTTTTTTTTTAATCTTTTTTCACTGCCTGTAATTTTATTTTTTTATTTATTTTTTTTTTTTTGCAATTAAAAATATTTGTATTTGCTGATTGAAATTTTTGATGCTTGAAAAATAGTTTTAACAAATCTATTTGAGAATTGTTTTTTTTTATTATTATTATTTATTTATTTTCTGTCTTAACGCATTGCATTTTATTGAATCTCAATTTTAAAAAAAATTTATGCTAACTTTTTTTTTTTAGTTAAACTGCCTGAATTACTGTCTAAGATGAATGTGTCTAAAAAGAAGATGATTATATTATTAGACATCCTTGAAAGTTTTCTGTTGTAAGCATTCCCATTTTCATACTTTGCTTTGTGAAATATTTTAGCTATTTTCTTTCATTAAATTGTCTTGATTAAAGAATAATATCAGTATATAGATTAGTAAGTTTAAATTAATGGGTTATAATTATTTGTGTGCTAAATTTGTTTGAGTTATAAACTTTGATTTCTGAGTGAATAGTACTGTATCAAAATAGTTTAATGCATATGTTCTAAGACAATGTTTGTTTTCAACTGTTGGTTCGATTTCAAATAATAAGCCAAAAAAGCTTCACCTCTAAATAAAACCATTCATTTCTAGCAAAAAATTAAATATTAATACTTATCTATTTTATTTTATATTTTGAATCTATTTTTTTTAAATCTTATTAATCCTGGTGATTTTTGGAGTTTAAATAATAGATGTATAGTGAGCTGAAAAATCTTTTATTACGTTTTTTCTAAATATGAGATTTTTCCCTTTTGATTTAATTTTAATGGTTTGAAAGGTTTTAAAAATGCTAACTAATTGACATTAAATATAGGTCACAAAAAAGGTACCATATTTGAATAAACCTATTTTTTCTAAACCTATTGGAATTTTTAATTATCAAAATGAGACATAGCAATCTGAAAAATATAGTCAGATCTGTTTAGGCATTTAAGCAATCAAAAGTTTGACCCGTTAATGTCAATTTGACTTTTTGCATATTTTGCTCTCTCTCATGAACATTTTATGTCAATCAAAAGCTTTTTGCATATAATTCTAAAGCTTATTTATCCAACGATGGAAAAAATACTTTTCATAAATATTCCTTATTATTTCTGTAATATTTGTTAAAAGCTTATGAATTGTACTGTATATAAATTTTTATTACGTTATTTTAAACTTTATGTTGAAATTATACTAATGATAAATTTTATCTACCGAATAAGAAAATTTGAAGAAAGTCAGTGGTGTAGTTCTGGAGAAATAAAAATTTTAATTTAATTCTAGCTTTTTTAAAATTTTGTAACTCTCAAACTACCAATTTATTCAAATTTTGGATTTTGTGATTTAAAATTGTGTAATTGAAAATGTAAAAATGACTATGTCTAAAAAGTCAATTTTTTGCTATCGTTATTAAATAAAATAATAATTTTTTAAAGTTATATTAGTTTTATTTTTGAATACTAAAATTTTCCTGTTTACTTAAAAAAATCTCTTAAAAATTAACATTTGGTGCTGTATTTTAAAAGAGGGTAAAGTGAAGTGAAATTTCATTTTTTGTGTCTGATTTTGTAACTTAATTAATAGTTAGCTTTAGTTAATAAACTCATTGATTCCCTACTAATTTTGACCCATTCCCCATTTTTAATATTGTTAAAAACTCATTCAACTTTTCCAAAACTTTGAATATATACAGTTGTGCCGCAATCCATCATTTTCCTGTTTCATTTTGTGTTAATGGTCCCATCACAAATGCTATTCCTGAAATGTTAATAATACCTTTTAGATCACTTTTTTAAGCCAGCTCATTCTTGCATCTACTGTTTAGAATTTCAACTATCATTTAAAAATATCAAAATTTCATTTGAGGAGAAAAAACCACAATTCCCAGTGAAGAAGACAATGAGGATTTATTACAGTTTACAACAGTTTAAGGTAAATGCCTCAAACAACACGTTTGATCTTTATGTATCAGTTGATGAAAATGTTGAAACTTGTGGTGTTGTTGGCTGATTGCAAAAGCTGGAATGTAAAGTAATAATGATAACGGGGGTGAAACGCGACCACAATCAGTGCCATTTTCTAAAGGCTTTGAAACAACGAGCAATATTCGTACTTACAGAAAATAAACAACAATTTATTAGTAATGCCAAAAACTTAATGTTTGCAGTGAGAAAAAAAGTATTCACATCAAAATTTTCAAATATTTTAAATAAATTTGTTTAATCTTATTTCTTTTGCTTCGTAAGTAATTTTGCATTCTGTAAATAATGTTTTCAGTTAAAATTTTTTGCACTGATTGTATACTAATAAATTTTCATGTCATTACTTAATATTTTGCATTGACCCGCATACATTGTTTTCCCTTATCTATTTTACACAATGAATGATCCCATGAGAAACAGTCAAATGAGGTTCTACTATACCCTATTTATTCAAATTATTTCTAACATGTTTTTAAAATTAGACGAAAACAACGTGGAAAATGGTGATATGCATCAGTGCGTTAATATTTTTTTATGTTATATAATGGTTATGTTTCTTATGTTATGTAAACAGTACCTTAGGTAGGAAAGAAGAGCTTCACTTGGAATTTAATAAATTTGTCCGTTTTTAGATATTTTTAATTTTACTTTCACTGTTTTTTTATCAAGCATGTTACAGGTTAAAGAAAATGTCAATTCCATTTAGAATTTAATGATAATATTTTTTATGCTTCATTAAATAATTCTACTTTATATTTTTGGTAGTATTTGTTCATTATTTTTTTAAAACATTTTAATTTTATTTCAGGTTTCTGGTAGAAAAAAAGAATGAACTGTTTTTGCCATCTGCGTATATTGATTCCTGTGATGAAGATCTTGATAAAAGTGCTTAGTCTAAACTATGGCATCAAAAACATTTGTTTATATGTCATGTATGTAATTAATCAGTTATGTGATATATTTTGTTTCTATTCAATTTTCACTTTTAACTCATCTTAAAAACATCCACCATAAATCCATGTTTAAATTCTGTCTTAAATTTTGTAAATTAATATTAAGCTAATAAATTGTAAAAAAAAAAAAATTAAAAAAAATACTTGTTGAATAAATAGATATACAATCATATAAAAGCTTCCATGTTATTAAACCGTTAATTTTCTCATAATTTTGAAAAAACGGACGTAAATAATAACTATTTTTTTATTCAAGAAAATTGTACTAAGTGTGTGTACAATTTATGTATTCATTTTTAATTTTTGGGTTAATTTTAAACTTCCAAGTTTGATGATTGCTTAAAATAAACTAACTTTCATATCTAAATACATTACAAATAGTCTTTTACTGCCATGTGGTATATAGATTAGGAAATAAACATGACTCCAGGAGTAAGAAACAGATTGTTTTAATCTTTTTTGGCTCCTCACCTTTGAACATTTCAGCTCAGAAATATCACAGGCACAAGAAATATAAGGCAAAGCTTCAACTGGTCTTTCTGATGGGAACAAGCTGCTTGATGTATACATTAACATAACGCATTTGTGATACAATTTATTTTGTTTAATGTAAGCATTAAGTTAAACGTGTTTCTGATTAATATCCATTTTTTAAAATTCATTCTAAAAAGATTCATTCTTAAAGTCTACCTCCAACCTGTAATTATAAATTCCTATCTAAAAATCTTAAATTTTAATGAACATAATATTTGTAACTCTTTATTTATTTATTTTTTTATTAAAAATAATTCATTACATTTTGGCAAATACTTTTATGATAAACATTTTCATGCATTTTAATATAAAATTTCTATATCACATTTTATTTAATATTAACATAAATTGCTTTTACTCAAGTTTGCATACAATTTTCTCTTCTATACACCACTTTTCAACTGAATAACAAGAGAAAAATAAACTTTTCTTTTCATCAGGAAAAACATCAGCCGTTGCAAGCACTCAGTTGCGTAACTTATTAATCATTAAAACATGATTTCTTAGAAATGTAGTACATCTTCACAGACTTGTATGATTTGATCAATTATTAAAAAAATTATAATTGCAAATATGTTAGATTCTCATACATCAAAAAGTTTATCAAAGATCTTTTGTAGGCAAATCTGAAAGAGAAAAAAAAATTACATTTAAGAAAATTATAAAATATATTTAGGAAATTGTTGTTGCATCTGCAAAGTTTGCATATGTAATTGAAATTTACATTTGGGAAGTTATTGAAATGCTGCCTGTTTGCTTAAAAAAATTTATGTCACAGAAACAGATGTTACAGATTTAAAATTTAATTTTCAGTGATAGATTCATTATATGAAATAACTTGTTTTTGATTTTTTTTCAGTCAATACAATAAAAAAAAATTTATTCTTATTACTTAGTTTTTACTTAACCTAGTTGTTGAAAATATAATGTGATCTTAGTACCAGCAATGGTTTATGATCAGATGAAATATCAACAAATATATTTTACCTGAAAACTATTCAGCTTTTCTAATTCAATTTCATTTTGCGAAGTATCCTGTAAAAAATAAATAAATGAACATAATCTTCAAGTTTACGAAATGTTTTAATATTCATATATTGTTGGAAATAATTATTTCAGTACTGAATAATACTTAAATTGAATGAACAAAATTTTCAGTTGAATAAAATGTTATCATTATTTAACTGCTACTGAAATTAATGTTTCAGTGCTAAATGATATTTAAATTAAATGAATTTTAAAGTGTCCAAAAATTTTAGATAATGCTTGAAATTATTTTAGTTCTGAATGATATTATAATCAAATGACTCTTAAAGACAAATGTATTCAGTGTAATCTATCAATACATAACTGGATATTCTGAAATTAATTTAAATATTAATTTCAGAATGTTATTCTGTATATCATATTCAGTTTTGTAATTGAGAGTCAAAATAATATAATTTATTGCTGTTTAATTAAAAACTGAAAAAATAAACAAACACATTAAAAGGTAAACATAGTTTTTAAATTAAATAAATGATTAAGATCATTTCATATTTATAAAAATCGTTTTATTTTTAAAGAAACTTTAGTGATATTTATTGTATTTTGAGAAAAGTACATAATTAAAAGGATATGGGTATTATGTAATACTTACATAAAGATGAGCTAAGTCTTTCTCCCAGCATAAAAACAACTGAAAGACATGAATTCTAAATTACTTCTAAATACATAAATTGAGTTTAAATTAAAATATATCTATATATTCCTTTAATTAAGGAGGAATATTGCTGTAAAGTTTTCACCAAACTTATTTTTAAATTCTACACAACTGAAAAATAGGAATAGCAGAAAAAATTATCCTAAAGGTATTTATTGTAAATTGAATAAACTATACTTTGCAAACTTAAAACAGTATATTTCCAACTAGAATATTTAATAATTCCTACAATTTGCATCTGATTTACCTAAATATTTGACAGTATGTGCAAATGTCGTTACTCAAATATAGTTTCTCTTGGACATAAAAGTTATTTAATCTTGTTTATAGTTCTTGATTAATCAAATGTTAAAACCTGACTTTTCGAAAAAATATTTGTTCAAAATAAAAAATTAAAACCAAATATTTTTATCGAAGTTTATTTTGGAAGTTATTTTGAAGTTGTCATAGTTCTTTCGAAACAAAACAAAAAATACAATTTTTGAACTGGATTCGGCTCCAGAGTGGTGTAAGACACTCAACAACGTTTCAAGAGTCATTTTTCTGTCGGTTTTATAGCTACCTTATTCTTAACAGAAGACTTACCTTAGACTTAAACAGATTTATTTTTCTATTTAGTCTATCTTGGAGACAAGGTTGTGCCAAACCTCTTACTGACTTCAACAGCATTAAAGAAATGCTTATACAAGAAATAGGACAAAATATCAGTAGGTTACTGGCAAGCTATATGACAGAAAATTACAAACTCAAGCTCTGCATCATTTTGAAAATTTGTAAATAGGTTAGAATTAGTAATGTTTCCACATTCATTTGAAACTCTGGTTGTGATATTTTAATAAACATTAAAGTTTCATATTATTTGTGCCCACCTAATTTTTTACTACATTTGTGCAAACTCAAATAAATCAGAAAGAAGTAATTAATTTCGTACTAATAATTTCTGCGGCATTCTGGTTTAAAATGCAATCTTAAAGCTCGAACTTCCAGAAGGGAATCTCAATTCCTCTATTGTATTTAAAGGTCAAGTCTCAGCCTTAAAATAGATAATTAAGCATCTTTTACTTCTTTTATATTATTATATATGTAATAGCATACTTTAAAACTCAAAAATAACTTTACAACAATAAAAATTTGTTGGAGCTAATAGCTTATTACTCTTACCTATGCTATATTGCTATTATCCGAGTTAAATTTTCGGAGTTACGAATTACAGCGTTATTCATAATTCCCTCCTCCTGTAAACGCCATTTTACTACTGGCTACAACTGTACAACTGGCTTCAGTGGTACACGTTACTGCCATCTACCGGCAACTGCTTAAATTAAAATTTGGAATAAAGAATACTTATGGAATAATTTCACATGTTCTTTTTTGCCATATTCGTCTTCGTTTTTTTACTATAACGCTTCGTAACCCCGGAGAGAATTATGAATAACCCTGTACTTTAAAAAATTTTAAAAGTGATACACATATTGAATTGCAATATAATTTTAAAAACATAAGTTTAGAATTTATTATGTTATCGTGATTACTGATGTTAAGCGCTTTAAGGCATTTCTATATTTCTAAGCAAATTCATATATGCGTGAATTACGACTGGGCACTTTTTTAAACAAAATAACTTTCTTTGGACTTAATTGTTTGAAAATCGGCGAATTTTTGAGATGCGATGTACTTTTAAATATACAAAAAATTATTGAGTTTATTATAATTTTTTTAACTGTAAATAGGTATAAATTTTTAATCTTAATAAATCCACTTACTGAATCTCTAATATCGTCTCTGTCACAGAACATTTCAGCTGCTCCCATCATGTTTTCTCTAAAGTTGTCTGTTGCATTTCTGCAACAGCCATAGACGATTTCTTGTCCCTGGAGGTAAAAATTTTGTGTTTTGTATTTAAAAAGAAAAAACAAAGCGTCATTGCAATTATTCATGATAATGATTATTTCTACATTCGTGTGTGTGTGAAAGAGGATGCAATTGAAATTCCGAAATTTTTGCAACTATCCATAGTACTCTAATCTCGTCTGCAGCTACTACTATGTGTCTGATGACAATATACAAGTTTCAATCGTTTTCTAACTGCTACTAGCATGATTTATCATCAATCGAAATTTTAATCATTACCCGACTAGCTAGAGTACTCAAATTTCAATCGAAGTTTTGTGTCTGGAGTCACAACAAGATTCAATCATTCCTTGACATTAACTGGCAGAATTTATGTCCAAATAGTAACTAAACTAACTAAAGGGCTGAAATTTCAACTGAAACTTTTTGCCACATGAAAGGACAAATCACAAATTTTTCCTAAATATTGGAATTAAAATTTCTTCTCAACTTCTGACTTAATCTAACTAACTGCCATAAAATTAAAAAGAAGAAAATAATAAAATGAAATTTTAAAAACTACATTTTTCAAGCCGGCTAGATAGAAGAATTAGAGTCAATAACAACTCTGAAACAACTTTTTCTTTTTTAACTGTAAGAGATTTAATTATTTTTAAATTGTTCAAGAGATTTTGATTTGCTTTATTGCTGATGTTTTTCACGGCCTGGAATGAACTTTAACTGCGAAGGAGTACTTTTTAGTTTTTGCTGAGAAAAAGTGTTCTAGGAAATTCTTTCCATTCGATAGGTTTCGTTTAAGAATTCGCTGATTCGCCAATTACTTAAAATAATTGTAATGGACTAGATTTGTAAACGCACACACAATCGCTAAATTTTAGAACCTGGATTTCAGAGTATGGTAGCATATGTCTATAGTATTTCACAAAAATCGCCGTAATGCTGGATTTAATAAATAAATAAATAAAAAACATGAGATACAATTTTAATATTTATTTTTTCAAAAAATTTCTTCTTTTAAATTCATATTTGCTATTATTTCTAAAAAATGTAAAATCAAATCGATATTGCAATGCATTCGTTTTTGATGTAAAAATTATGTAAGGTTTAAAATGCTTTTTTAAGACATGGAACCATGTTATACTCTCATTATACTTACTGCTACCGGTAGAAGGCTTCCACACTGTGAAACATCACTTATGGTTTTCTCTGCTAAAATGATAGAATATAATTAGACAATTTTAAAAGGTTTTCCAAAATCTACAATGGTAAATCAAAATATCAAATGCAATCTTTTAAATGTGTCAGTAACTACAACCTTAGTGATAATGTTGTTGTTACTGTCAAAGTGATTTTCAGTGCATTAAAATGATCCCCCTCCTATTTTTTTCAACCATTTTCATTTATTTTTCTTTCTTTGTGCAATTTCTGTAATGCGGAGCTAGTGGAGCTTGCTTTGGTTCGTCGTTGGCGTACGCACCAAGTTGAAAAAGTTGAATTTCTTATACCCTTATTTCTTCCAAGAACTTTATAAAATGGGTTTATCTCCGACACGGGGCTTCTGGAGCCTGCTTCAAACTGTTCTATCATTATTCGAGAACAAACTGAAAAGTTGAATTGATTTTCATCTTAAGAGGAGATATTCTTTCCTTCTCTTTTTGTTATAATTAAACGATTTAGTGTAGAATTAATGATGACAATAAACTTGTGATGTTTTTAAAATAAACTCATTTTAATACAAAATACTTTCAAACGCTACATCGACAATATTTTGTCACTTTTTCATCAAAATAGAAATTCATATTAAATACATTTTAAGAATTTGACTGGTGTAATTTAAGTTGAACGATCATTCAGTTGGAGTGTTCCCTAAGTAAAATGTATTATTCTTTAAGAATTTTATTGTAGTTTCAATTTTCTGAAAGGAATATTTAAAGTATTGATAAAATAATTAATACTAACTGTTAAATGACAAACTTCTCAAAACTGCAATAAGAAATATATTACAGCAGTGTGACTTTTCTATTGCAAATAAAATTCATATGAAATATGAATCGGAAAATTGAGTCGCTCGACTGAATTGATCGAAGCATTAAAAGTGGTGATGATGCAATTAACCCTTTTGAAGGCAGTGGTAAGTATACTTACCACCACGTTTTACCACTTTTAATTAGGGCTTCCATTTTTCAATAACTTCAACATTCTTGAAGTGAGTTTGAATAAAATTGGTAACCATTTGTCACTTTTAAAAAACGTATAAAAGTTATAAAATACATAATTCCTTTTGAAGTGTGTAGCATTTAAGGAATTTATTTTATAAATAAAGAAAAATAAAAGTCAGTAAGTTCCTAATAGGTCATGTTAAATATATTTACCACCAAAAAAATGGCATTTTTATAAACTAAATGAGTTTTTTTTTATATCAATTACTGCTCTTAAAACAATTTCAATTCCAAAATTACTTAAATTTACCTATAATAGAAATAAAGGGCCCATTAAAGGGTTAAATAAAATATTCACTGCACATCATTCATAGTGTTAAAAATATTTAATCAGTGAGCACACACAATTGTACGAAACTGATGTTCTTTAAATTTGAATTCAACATTTTCATTCAATCAAAAATGCAAGAATTTCTCTACGTACTTAAAAGTCAAATTATTTCAGAATTACAATTAAGCTACTATTCAATTTTTTGATTAGTTTTAATTTATTTGTAGTTTGAATTACGAATTTCTAAATGATTTGTATTGAAACATTAGGATGAGGAATGAATGAAATATACATCTATTTATTAAATATTTATTTATTTTTAAGGAAGTAAATGCTACATTTTATAGGATTATATTTCGGGAAATGATTCTCCAGAAAAGGATAACAGAAAAAATGTAAGAATATTATTGTTTAAAAATAACGATAATTAATAACGATTTAATTAAATTACAATTTAACTTCTTTTTTTTTTTTAACTGTTAAGATATCCTTGAAAGCTAAAATTTTACGATCATAAAGCAGGATTACAGAGGATAACTATATATATATATATTTTTAAATTCATCTTAAAATGTCTACAATTTTCAAAAAAAAAAATTTTTATTTTAAAAAATATATATTTATATATGTATGTTTAATATTATATGGACGCTATTCTTCTCATATCTGTCAGGGTCACGTGATGTAATAACACGCATTTTCTGATGTTGCGAGCTAAAAGCTTGATATTATAGATATGATCATTTTTTTTTGGTTTTGTTTTTTTAAACAATGGATGAAAAAGAATAAAAAAATGGTGAATTAGTTTTTGTAGAATTTTGCGTTATTTCTTTTGTAAAAGGTTACGACTGACAANAAAGTCAAATTATTTCAGAATTACAATTAAGCTACTATTCAATTTTTTGATTAGTTTTAATTTATTTGTAGTTTGAATTACGAATTTCTAAATGATTTGTATTGAAACATTAGGATGAGGAATGAATGAAATATACATCTATTTATTAAATATTTATTTATTTTTAAGGAAGTAAATGCTACATTTTATAGGATTATATTTCGGGAAATGATTCTCCAGAAAAGGATAACAAAAAAAAATGTAAGAATATTATTGTTTAAAAATAACGATAATTAATAACGATTTAATTAAATTACAATTTAACTTCTTTTTTTTTTAATTGTTAAGATATCCTTGAAAGCTAAAATTTTACGATAATAAAGCAGGATTACAGAGGATAACTATATATATATATTTTTTAAATTCATCTTAAAATGTCTACAATTTTCAAAAAAAAAAATTATTATTTTAAAATATATATATTTATATATGTATGTTTAATATTATATGGATGCTAATCTTCTCATATCAATTTTCAAATTTTAATATTTAAATATAAATTAGATCTCTTTTCTTCATAAATTTTATATTTATTCATGAATAAGGAAATCATTGAAACCATGCAGTTCCTTATTGACATTACAATCCGGCCCCATAGCAGTAATGCAGATGTAAGGCCGGAATAACGCTGTTATTTTGCAGGCGCAAGGAGTTACCTCGCCCCTTCCTGAAGTGCTACAAAATTAACGATAGCGGATCTTCTATTACTATCTATTTACCGTTACTGTACCTAAAATTCATTCTTATCCATTCAAAATCTTAAATATTCATGAGTTAGAAATTTTTTATTTGAGGTCAAAAATGAACTAATTCAGTAACATAATTTCTAACATAACTTAATATTTCTTGGTATTTTTATTTTATTTTTTACAAGCTTCAAAACTTCTAATTTACGTTAAAAAAATATTTTTTATGTTTATAAAAAGAAATTCAAAAATAGATTTATATATATATAAAAAAAACTTATATTTCACCTTTAAGAATTCGATTCAAAATTATATAATATAACAAACTGTAAATCGCGTTTATTGTTTTTGAAGAGAAAATGTGAAAAGCATGATTTCTTAGAAAACGCCATGATAGTTCGAAGAAAGGAAACCCCAAGAAGTTCGAAGATTCCTATGCGCTGCACATTGCTCAACTCTGACTTTGCTACATACAGCAAATGGGAAGATATTTTACATTTTTGCGAGGAAAAATTATTTGATAGATGTAAGTTTTCAAAAAAAGGAAAACATTATAAATTTTCTCAAAAAAAAAAGAAGAAAAAAAAACTTTTATTATTAAAAATTATTCTGAAACTGAATGGAAGACTTTCAATTTCTTCTCTAAATAACAATTGATGCATATAACTATTATTAATAAAATTTTAAAAATAAGAATAAAAAAATATCACCACATAAAGCTGTTATAAGCTCATCTTCTTCAACTTCATCTTCGTACGCTTTCCCCTTCATAAACCACAAACAAATTATAAGAAACATGAAGTTATTCATAACTGTAACCAGTAACAATCGCGGACACAAGATTAACGATGTGTGTTCGAAAATAGAAAAGATTTAAATGGGCTCACAAATCTATTTCGCATTTGCTCTTATAAGCACTCGACCATTGGGATGGTAATTTTATTTAGAACGACACTTTTTATTACATTTGGACTGTCGTAAAACAAATCTATGTCACCGAACCATTTCACCATAGAATTTTCAACAATGCTTTTCTATTTCATTATGTTCGGAGAACAAAAAGTTTCCGACACTGACGGTCCTTTCCAAAGTGCCGTTAATTAATATTTTGGAAAGTTTAAAAAGTAAGTCCGATGAACCTGAAAAATTTCGGTTAACCTGTGAAATGAATAAAAAAATAAAAGTATTCTACCATTATCCATAAGTCCTGAAAATTGGAATTTTCGATGCGAACTTTTTTAATTTAGTTTAGTGTACTGGTTCATATAGCTACTTTGCCACTCAAATTGCAAATTAGTTTTTTTTTAAAAATTTCTTTAATTCTCATATCTATGATCAAAACGGAATAATCTTTTAAAATTTTATTTGGTTTTTCAGCAGCAGTAGTTGAAAAAAATTTTCTCACTTTTCCGAAAGTGTTAATTTAGAACAATAGCGTTATTGAACCTTTTTGTTACGATTTCTAATTTGTTAAACTAATGGGCACTTTAACTTCATTTTCTTTTTATATTTAAAGTGTTAAAGTTAAATTACACACTTTAGAAAATATTTTCTTATTTGGTTTAAAGAAGTTTTTTAAAATCATTTTACCACTACTGTGTATACATAATTTTAAAAAGAAGTCATGACATCAATTCAGAAGGGAAAAAAACCTCGATGAGTTCTTTCTGCTTTAGTTTGCTTTTATATGATTAAGTCATTTAAAATAAGATTTGTTCTTCGTATTGTAGAAGCAGTTGCACTGTACTGCGAAGTACATGCCCCGTCAGGAAGGAACTCTGATCTCACTTTTACATAGACCTAGGCAGGCCCGGACTGGGAACTAAAATCGGCCCGGGCATTTTAGAGATATCGGCCCTCTACTTCACATAAACACCGCGTGCGCGAAGCGTACGCGTTTCCTAATGTATCATTTTCAGGCATTTTTTACTTATAAATTCTCATGAACGTAAGTTAATTTATTGAGGTAAGAAAGTAGATAAAAATTGCTTAATAATCCTTTATAGAATATATTTCAGTTTGAAACATAGGTTGATAAAATCAAAAAGAAGGTGAAAGATGTAGAGTTAGTAAAAATATTTATTATACTACACATACATGAATGATTTACATAAAAATTTTTTAAAAATAGATTTAATGCTTCTTCAAAAGTCATTAAATTAAAATTAAATCGAAAAGAAAGTGAAAGATGAAGAGTTAATAAAAATATTTATTATACTACACATACATGAATGATTTAACTAAACATTTTTTTTAAAAAATAGATTTAATGCTTATTCAAAAGTCATTAAATTAAAATTCAATTTAATGACTTTTGAAGAAGCTCACTATTTTCTGCCACTTTATTGATTATGTCGTCGCTATTTAATTTCATTAATAGATCTTTTTCCATTGCCATTACCATGAGAGCATTCAAATTATCTGAAGATAAAGTACACCTCATTCGATTTTTTATTGCTTTTAATGTGGAGAATGATCTTTCACAAGCCGCCTGACTTATTGACAATGTTAGTAAATATTTTAATGCTAGACCAATTAAATTGTAAGAATTGGTCAACAAATTGAATCTCTGTAATATTTTGTAGCAACAAATAACACAATTTTTGTACGCATTGCGTGTCTCACTTTTTAGACTTACTTCTTCTTCTGTTTCCAAAGTAAAGTCGTTATTATCTTCATATGAATGATCTTCTCTGATTATTTTATAATCTTCTAAGTCTGAATTTTTCAGTTTTTCCCAATGTAAAGCTAAATTTCTTAGTTCAATCCGCAAATTTTCACCTATAGCTGTTTCGTCAAAGTTTAGCAAGAGTTTGTTAAAATTTGACGTTATTATTGAGTATTCGGGTTATTATTGATTATATTGGCATTAAAATTGAGTTCGTTAAATTTTGACTTGTTTTTATCCATTACTCAGCCACCAAACTCAAGACCAATGGGAACTTTAACTTTGATTTAAAAGCTGCTCAGAGTGTTGATCAAATTTGACGCCTTCTTTTCTTATATAGAAATCCAAAAGGCTAAAAAATGGAATCTATTGGAAAAGGACAAATGGAATTTAAAAAACACACAAAAACAAATAATACATTATATTAAAAGTCTAGTGAAGAGACATACAGTGTAGAAAATTCTACTGGATAAAATAAAAGTTCACGTTTGTGCAATACTGGAAATAATAAAGAAAGAGAATCTTACACAGCACTAAAGACTCACAGTCGGACAGAGATTATTTGATTTAATCATGTGTCAACAACGACATCTAACAGTATCTCCAGGAACTAATTTAATATTAAGTTATAAAACACAGGGTGATTCAGACCAAACGTGCCACCCATTTTTTTCGAGAATGGAGCGAATAATCGATTTAAAATAAAAAAATCTAATAACTAAATAGACCCCAAGGAATTCAATAGGGATACTGTTAATTCCCGCAAGTAGCCGGAAGTACCGGAATTTGAACACAGCTTTGATTTTTTTAAATAGAAACCTATATCTTATTTGGCGTCATTGGAGTGAGTTTTTGAAAAGAAATAACTTTTACCTGAAATATTTTTTAACATCTCATTTTCAATAATAGATAAGAAAAAATACATATTAAATAGATTTTGACATATTCATTAAANAAACCCGTTTTTTTTTATTGTTAAACCCAACTAATAAAAAAAAAAAATTAGGGAATAATCTTAAAAAGAAGAAAAAACGATGAAGTAATACAGTAATGATCATTTCTAAAATGATGGTATGGTAAACATCTTTCAAAAAAAGAAAAATCCTAAAATCTTATGAGGAAAAAAATTTTTTTTAAGAAAATGGCGGGAAAATTTATCGAATTTCGTTCCGGTTTTTTGGTTTTCCGGTTTTCTGATTTCCGGATAACGGGTTCTGTACTGTATATGTTACTTAATATTATTATTATTATTTGCGCAATATTATTTGAAATTCATGCAATGTATAAAAAATTTTTTTGCCCTGCTGGATCGGCTCAACCGGTCCTCGGGCCAGACTGGCCCACCGGGCATTTGCACGGTCTGCATATTGGCCAGTCCGGGTCTGGACCTAGGAGGTAATCTTAAAAGAAAAAAACATATTAAATATTTTTAAGGCTAAAATAATTCTTGCTTACAACTGTAGATTCTAACGTTATCGCGATACCACAACAAAGATACTTAATCAGAAATCGAAAAATCGTCAGATATGCTATAGGTATACCCTTTTTTCCTTTTCTTCATAAAAATTAATACTTGTGCTTTAAAATGAGAAAAGAAAACTCAATTTTTCAAGAAACGGGTAAAAAGAATTCAATTCGAAAAGAGGAATACGTAATTAGCTCCAAGCGCCCTACCATGTGCTTTAAACCAAATTTCATTGGATACCTGTAAGCGAACATCATTGGCTTCTAAATCCACGAAAGCCATGATTTACCCACAATGATGTCACTTGCAGGCATTAAATTATTTTTATAATATTTGATTAATTAAATATTTAAAAAGCAGAGATCTATGAGGACATAATCGTAGCTATCAATTTTGTATTACTAAACCACTGATATAAGATTTTAGATTGACATGTATATCAGGGCAGCCAACTTTCTACGCTTTTTGTAAAAATTTACTCTAGTAGTAGCTGTCTATGTTTTAATGTATCATTTTTTATTAATTTAAACTTATTTCCCACACCACTGCTTATAAATGATTTAAAAGTTCATATGCAATGCCTCTTTGTTCTAGCTCCTTCATGAGTAGGTGGGGGGGGGGGCTCTACTATAGTAACTAGTCAAAAATAATTTCAGCAGCAGTGCCGGATTAAGCATACACGGGGCCCTAGGCCATTGAAATTTTTGGGGCCCTTAGATTAAATTTTTTTTCTCGTATATTTTTTATTTATTCAAATATAAAAGTATTTATGCATCTTTTCATTTAAGAAATCGTATTTAAAATAAAAATAAATAATAATAAATTAAATGTCACTTTATTTTGTTAAATTAGAACAAAAAATAAGTATAACATTCTGGAAAAATTTGAAACTTATTAACACTTAACAAAATCAACGCTACTATAAAATTGGTATTCAAAAATAATTTTTTTCTGCTCCTGCGATCAATAAACTCATCTATAATGTTATCAAAATTAATTTCACGGAGAACATCTGATCGATAAACATCAAACTTAGCATGTCTAATCGTTTCTGAAACATGACGCTTCTCTGCATGGCTTATTTTCTTAAATTTTTAAAATTTATTTTCAAAAAATCCATTTTAAGGGGGCCCCCGGTCATGTCTTAGTTTGGCTTAATGGGTAATCCAGCACTGCTCAGCAGCTCATCACTAACGAATAAAGCAGCATAACAACAGACGGATACGAACAAATTTCCATTCTCTTAATTTATGACAATAAAACCATAAAAAAAACGGGCCTATAGAATATCGCAAGACATCCACTAACAGGAAACAGGAAATAAGCTACTCTTCCCTGCCAGTTATGACTCAATAGTAATAGGAGACTTCAAGACAAAGCAAGTGTACAGTATATACTGTACAGTATATGGGGTGTAATAGGAGTACTCATAATGGTAAACATCTTAAAAATCTTATGAATAAATTTGTCCTTGGTCTTGTGAATTAATAGCACCCTCTCGAACCAATTTACTTTCCCACACATGATAACTGTATACCAGACATTCTAGACCTAACAATAACCAATCTCAAGATACCGATTGTAGCAAGCGAAATTCATGACCTATCTTTAGACCATCATCCTGTATACAATATCGTTGGAATCAACGTAGAAAGGATCTATGACGAAATCAATAAAACTAATTGGGTGCTTTATGAAAACATCTAAGCCATTAAAAAATTCAGAAGAGAATACTGAATACTACCTTCCGAATCATCAAGAAATTTTAAAGATGCAAGAAGACGTCAACAAAGCTCAGCTCATTCAGAATCCACTAGCACAAAAACTCACCTAACGAAATACCTTAAATTTCCACCAAAAATAAAGGAATTAATTAAACAGTGAAACTGGTGCAGGAAGATATATCATAGAACCTGGGATCCCGAATTTAAAACTAAGATGAAAAACCTCAATAGATAAATTAAAAAATGTTGTCGATATTACAGTCATAAATAATGGACAAAAATATAATCTGTAATTATGTCTGTATATCAACAGATGGCGCTAACTCGCTGTTGAGACGCTCGAAGAATAAGTTTCACTTTTGTTTTTAAAAAGCGGTTACGTTTTTATTTTTTATTGACTGTTTCCATTCATGCATTGTTGCAGTATTCCGGCACGAGAATTTTTTCTGGGATAATGTAGGTTTTTTTCATGAGAAATGATGGTATATTAGTACATTTTGCTGACTGCACCGGACTGCAGGTAAGAAAATCTTTCTCTAACCAATTTATTATTGTCTTTAAGTATAGATTATCATTTTTTTAAGAATTTGGGAAAAAACCGTTTCAACGATTAGTTGATACTTTCGTTTTCTAATTATAGTTGTTTTTTTAACAAGTGGCAAACTTTCCAGGAAACTTTTATTGATAGTCTAGTGTGATATATTTATATTATAATTATTTTATTTTTGTTTTCTTGTTATATGGATATATTAAAAGCTTAGCGTACAGTTTGCCGAACGTCATTTATGAAAATATTTAATCAGATTAAGGAGGTTTTAGATAAAGGTGTTAGTGGTGAAATTATTTAAACTGATTAGGAAGAATTAAATATAAGCTATAGCTTATATTTAATATTAGCTTAACTATAATTAAGCTTGAGAGTTTGGCCCAAGATATAAAACTAGTTGAATAGATACTAATGCAAAGGAAATAGATATTAATAATGAAGTTAAATCCAATACCGATTAATTTACTACAATAAAGTAAAGAGTAAATGAGTGTATTAATAAACTTATTATCAAGAATATTTCAAGTAATGAATCTGAAAGTAATAAATATGATTCGAAAAAGAAACAGTACAGCTACCTGAGATCGATATTAAACCATCTGAAGGACAGTTAATTATCAATCGTTTTGGTCACAGAAAATACGTGACAAGTTTCAATATTAAAAAGAAAAAATAAAGATTGAAAACTGCTTTCTTAAATTATCTATTCGTGCTCTGCTCAATCAACCTCATATTAAAAAGTTAGTCAAATTCGCCACACAAGCAGAAAGCAATCATACTATTGAAAATGGGTCTGTTTGAGCGCCTGCATGACAGCGGACCAACAAACATAATAACTGTTGTTTTAATTTATATACTCACTTATTTAAATAACATTTATAAAGTGGTAGATATGTTCTTTTGTCAAAGATTCAAAGATATTTATTTAAAAGTTCAATGCTTTAGGAAGCACTAAATGAGTGAGTACAGAACCTGCGTAGTAAGTATTATCCAATTGATAGATGGATTTTGTTTTGTTTTTATACATATGAAAATTTTTAGAATATATAGGCGTTACTCTATGTTTTTACCCTTCATTAACTAGGATTTAAAGGCGTTAAATATGTTTGTTCCAATATTTAGTGTTTTAAGTTAAGTTTGCATTTAACATTGATAGTTATTTAAAATGCTATAAGATATTGTTTTATTTTTTGCAAATAACCATGAATTTTCTTCCCAACTGATATATTAGGCTTTGCATAATATAAGAAGTGTGAGCAGTGCAATTGAAAATTGTCTTAAAGCAAAATTTTGGTAGGGTGAGCAAAAAATTTGAAAATAAAACTATATAATAAAATATTTATATAAACATACAGAAATTAACTTAACTGAGCTGATCCATGATACAAAACATGATACATATCTGCAAAGCTACCAACTTGCGTTGCCAAAGAGGCAAAAAAACTGTATTCTATCATAAACTATAACTATATTATTGTTGTACTTTGAAAAGTAACGCCTACTGTGGTCTTTCCTTGAAGAGCGTTATTCGGAATGGAATAGGGCTTGCGAAGTGTATAAAATTTCCTTTTCCTGAAATTTAACAAATTCTAGGTTGCTAAAATTCTGAAAATTGGATTAATTTAAGAAAAACGTTCCTTTGTGACTTCTTTAAGAAAAGGATATTATGAAATGATATGATTTTCTAGAGGGTTCGGGTCCGACAGCCTTGACGATAAATACCGTGTTCCTGTTCGTCAATCGGTGATAGACGAATCGGTAATTCAGTGCCCCTTGACTCCTGCTGCTCGGTAAACAGACTCATGAAGCTGTGCACATTTCTCCAGTGTTTTGTTTCTAAAATTTTTAAAAACTGTATACATGGGAGTGTTACCTAATCTCGAAGCAAATTTGTCTGTCGATAGCACTGGGCAATTATTTTTTGTTGCATTTATACAAATATTTGCATTTAACTAATTCGGGTGCATGGATTTTAAATCTAAAATTAGTTGTGTTCTTAAAACTACAGAATTTTTTAATTTAGTTTATTTTTTGTCTGAATGTGCAACTTTGTACAGAACGTTGAGGTTTTTACTTATGCTTTGATTTTGTAACGAAAGCTATCACCAAAATTTATGAAGCATAACAGCTTAACGTTAGTAGCTAAATTGCTTCTACTAAAATTACGATTATTAAATTGTATTCAAAACTCCCATTTCCCAAAACTGTATAGCGCGTTGAGTTCTTTCTGTTTCTTCATATCACCTCTTCTGTTCTTGTTTTACAGAATGAACGTATTATTCCATCATCTGCATAATGTTATAATCGATGAGACGTATGGTTGAACTAGTTTTTTCTTCTAATATTTCATCTCTCTCTCTCTCTTTTTTTTCTTTTTTAAAAAATTAGTTAGATAAAAAAATTTTTTAATTTCTTATTGAGACTTTTGACTTTTCGGGGGCCCTTAAAAACGACTGACTGTGACAACAAGAAAACAACTAAGTAGTAAGTAGTTTAGTAAGTTTCATCAAACATACAAATCTAAAGTAAATAAGTATCCAATGAGTGAGCGCAGCGAGTAGGGAATGAGGCTCTCTAAAACAATATTGAAAATATTAAAACAAACAAATACTTGAAAAATTGATTGAAATCACCTCCTATAAAATTTATTTCCACCAAAAAGTGATAATTAGTAACAAAAGATATCCATTATTAAATGATATTAGCTGAAATAAAATTTTATTTCAATTTATTTAGATTAATTAATTTTAAAATAACATTAGTTACCAGCAAATCTTTTGATAATATTTTATCATTATTATTCAAAATCTTGGAATTGCATACTTACTTGGCGTCGGAGTAGCTCTGATCAAGGAGGGAGCTCTCCTGGTTGGAGGCCTACCATTGCACTACGGTAGGCTGACGACTGCCACTTCCGCAAATTGCGGTTGGTTGGGGCGCACAATTTTTGGTAGTCGGGGACTGCGTTCGCGCTGATCCCTGGTAAACTAAGATTAGAATAATTCTGATACTAGAATAATGGTTCTAAGTAGTCGCTATTTTAGGTTCTTTTAAATTCGATCGTAACTTTACTTTAATAAGCGAGGTATAAGAAGAAAAGGTCTGTTTTATACTTGTAAGCAATTTTAAAAAAAGTATGATTGTGAAATTACGCATAAAGTAATGATCGAATCATAAGGTAATAGATAATACAAAATTAAAATTCTTCTTGAAATGCAAATTGCATGATGAAGATGAAAGCTATCTATATGTTACTGATGTTTAGAGTATGTTGCGTGGCTGCAGAAGTATGCAGCTACTGTCCTTATTTCGTTGAAATTAATTGCTGAGATGGTGATGGCTTTTTCGTCACTGTTTTTACTATTTCAGAACAAAGAAAAATTTGTAACAGCTCTTGAATCATACTTGGAATTCAAGAATATCCTTCCTAAGTGGGGTAAAATTGCAAAAATTTTCCTCTCAATGTTCACTAGGAGATAATATAAGTAGAAAGATCTTGTTCTATTATACACGATATCTTATTACTATGTAAGTAAAATATTTAACGATAAATAGTGTAAAAAATAGCAAAGTTGCTTGATTCATTACATGGAGAAACAATTAAACTTACCCAGGTAGCAAAATGATATTATCTAACGTTAGAAAGATACAATATAGTACTGCCGTGCTAGACTCCTGAATCCTATCTTCTATTATTAGAGCTAATATTATATAACATTAAATAGTGTTCAATCTAACATTCGAACTTTTAAAATTATCACCTATTTCATTACTTTATGCCCAGCACCACTTTTTTTTATGTAAGAGTATATTATTAATAAATAAACATTTATTAAAAAAGAAAGCAATAAATTAAATATTATTCAAAATATCATTATTAGCCAATGCAATTTTATGCAAGAAAACGCAATAAAATATTTGTGGAAGTAAATTCTGTTCGTGAATGATAGAACACGAAAATATTTTTCAACTGTTGAGTAGTAACTTCGTCACGCTTGTATACGACCCCATATTGTTCGAGCTTGGCAGCTTTCTTTTTAACTACTTAAGGTATTTATAATTTAGTAATTATTTGTAAACTTTATAAATTTCAATGATAGTTACATGAAACGTTAAAGAAGTATTGTAAGTAATGTTTTTGCTTTTGTTAAAAATCGTGTACCGAATAAAGTCAGTAAATATTATGAATTAAGATCATATTTGACATTCTTGTTCTCACGTAGTAGTTGACTTCTCTGTTAACTTATTGTCTAGCAGCTCAGAATATGCCTGTAAAACAATGTTTGTTAAGTAATTCGACTGTGACAAAGTTTTTCTGCCACAATGAAAGGATATAAAAATAATTGTCTGTAAACAAATTAGCCAAGTTAAAACAATTAGCAAATTAATGATCTGCTACTCTTAGCTCAGTTAAAACCATTACATTCTTGAATGTTAAACGTTCAATACAAACAATATTGTTACCGTATTAAAATTGCATGTCTAAAATATTCTAAAACATTACATTAAACATTTTTATTTAAATTTCTTGGGGATATTTCAGTATCGTAATCTGTCGCGCCAACTACAATTGCCAGAGTGCCAAATAGATTTTAAACTTGCAATTTTTTAAAAAAAAAAATATGTAGATGTTTGCCCGGAGTTATACCTTTCGAGTTTGTCCCTTTCTGTGATGTTTCTTTTAGTTTAATAAATCTTTATTAAATAATTATTATAATAATAGTAATTAGTCTAATAAGTAATTATTGTTTAATGAAGTTTTTAAATAAATTTCTATTAGAAATAATCTGAGACTAATAATCTAATTTAATTAAACAATAAAAAAATAAATGTGACAAAATTTAGTTATGCATACTGACTTTTAAAGAACGTTATGTAAAAATATTTTGGGGGAGGGGCAAAATATATATAATATATATATTACAACTTAGAAATATGTGAATTGTTAAAGAATTCTCCTTCTGCATGGTTTTTTTCAACTATAAATTGATGATTTTGAATTATCATAGTATTTTTTTACATTGATGAACTTATATACATTAAAGGTTTTTAAAATAAGCAATTGTTTGCTTAATACTTTTCGGCACTCTTTTTGTTGACTTGCCTCATAGCAAGTAGTTATATTCAGGTCTAATAAAAAAAATTTGCAATTTAATTTTTTTTTTTTAAAATATGTGATAGTTTGCTTGGGAGAGCTTATGAGCTAAATTCGTTTAGTTAATCTCCTTCCCACTGTGTTATTTTTTGTGTGACACTAAAGAAATTTTTTTGTCGCTGGTATCGATACCAGAATTTAACCATTGAATTTCGTTGTGAAGGAATATACAATTTCTAAAAAACATTTTCAAATTAGATAATTAAAGTTTCAAATAAATGTTCATTGTTTAATAGTTCTAATTTTTTTCATTGTAAAATCTAATTTATTTTCCTTTTAAATTTCAATATAGCTTTTCATCTTCAAGGAAATCTACTATCAAGAAACTGTTGGACACTACAAATGGAAATTGCACACTCTGATGGAATTCTAAGCTCGATCCTTACTGCGAATGACTTAACGAGTGTGATATTCAGCAAGGACCACTTTAAATCTACTGTGGCGGAGAGTCTTCATGTTGAAGAAAGATGTTGTCATGCTGAAGTTTGAAGAAAGAGGGAAACTTGTGAAGTTCATCCCTGTTTTTTGTGGTGCATACATTATTATCTGTTGCTGAATTTTTCATAAAAGCATTTAATGATAACTTGGAAATATATTTTCAAGTAAATAAAGACTAACAATCGGAAAAGTGAACTCAAACTGTATCAAACAGTTTAAAGTCATGAAGAAAAATTATTTTATTTAATAATTAAGTATTTTTAACTTTTGTTTTACCAAAAGGTTATCGACGTTACTTTTAAAGAATGAAGGTAATGTATGGCATTTACAATTGGATGAAATCAGTGTGTTTTGTTTTTAAATAGAATTATTATGCTGCGAAATAGTTATGTTTATTATGAATTTTTTTCTTAATTTCTGTAGCCTGTAATTTCTTTTACAACGTTGTCAACAACAACAAACTTCAGCATTTTAAAAAATTTGATTTGTCAGGTATAATCTTTACATTGATAAAATTTTATAAAATATGACGTTAAAAAATATTTTCAGTCGATAGTGCTTAAGTATCATGAAAACAGTTGAATATATTTAAAATTTGATTATTTTTAATCTTTCGGTATGATATCGGAAGCAATTTTTTTTTAACGCTGATTTTAATGTATAACTCAAACTCGTGATGATTTTCATTATCAACATTGTGCTTATTTTAATTTTGGAAATTTTCACATGATTATTCATTTGAAATTTGAGACAAAAAGTTTATGCTTTTTTTTAATCATGTTTAAAATAACATAATTGTAAAATAAATATAATCGTAAAAAGTTCTTTTGACTGAATAACATTTATGATAAAAATACCAAATCAATTTAGAAAAGAATATTGCTTAAACTTTCATCTTAAAGGTCCTGTATATTCTTTGTGAAAACATGCACAATTGCATCAGTCCCATTCAAGACGTTTACCTATAATGTTATGTTTGTTTTTACTATATTCATAATGCATAAACTCTTATCAGCGAAATACAAACGATGATTGATTTTAAGTAAAAATTTTGTGATAATAAGGTTTTTAAAAAGTAACTGATGGTAATCAAATTTGGATCAATACAAAAGGCAACTTATAGAAAAAAACTATGCTAAGTTTTTTCGTCTTATTCTTGTATGCAATTAAATGTTTGTGCAAATTTAATTCTGATAAAATTCAATATTTACTACTTTTTTTTGGTTTTGACATTTAAATGTTATCTAAATTTTAAGTAAATAAAAGTACATAGTACCTTTAACTAATTATTGAATCGTTAAAAATTTCTTATATCCCAATGTAAAATTATTTTTACATTGCAAAAAATAATTGCAATTTTTTTTAATTAAAATTCATAAAGGCTTTTTTTGTTTCCCCTCCCTGAAAATATTTCTACAGGTGCCTTTAGGTTTTGTTTCTAGTGTTTTGTAAGTAAAATTTCAGATTCTGAAAGGATAAATGTAAGTATTTCTCAATTTAATTTCAGTGATAGAAGTGAAATAATTTATGTAAGTAAGTAATTTGAATATTTTTAATTTTCTTTATTGTCTCAGTTATTACAAAAAATAACAATTAAAAAATTCGAGATATAATTTTATTTTAATATTTTTGGAAATGAAAGACTTAGTTATATAGTAGAAAAAAAAGTTAATGTAAATTTTCAACTCAATTCAAATGTAAAATTTAACTTAGCAAATATGTAGTGTGGTTTTCTTAAATTGCAATTTCAGAATATAAATAATGAATGATAGTTATGAAATTACAAATGGCTTAAGGCTGATTGCTAATATATATGTATTACAAACTAACAAATTCAATTGAAATTTTGATAAAATATGCTCATTTAAAAAGAAAATTTTTTTTAAAAAATTAAAGACTTGAAAATTATTAATGATATAAAATTCGTCAGAAAACCCATTGTGTGAAGAAAAGAAAAAAATATCAATAAAAGTTGTGATATAGTATTATTTCTTATATAAATTTGAAATATTAAAAAAAATCAGCTGAACATAAGATATACTTTGGAGTAAGAGGGAGGAAAATGGATGGTAGCAGAAATCTCTAAATTAATTTTGTTTAGTATTTCTGTATTGCTAAGTAAATAATGCATGGAATGACATTATGAAACTATTGAATCCTCTCGTTTATTCCAAAAATAAAGAGCAACGAAAGATAATATCAGAAAATACAAAATCTAATATTATATAGCGTTAAAACTAATGCAAAGTAATATTACGGCGTACGCTCGATAATATTAGTTTGCATGGAATCGAATATTATACAATGCAGAGCAAACAGCGACCTCTTGTATCTTTCTAATATTAGAAGTTGTGCAATATAACGTTACATTTTACCGACTTTCTGATGT